TCTGCTTTGCAGCCTCCTTCTCTTTTCCCCTTCCTTCCAGTCTGCATCTGTCTTCCAACCTCCTTTATAACCTTTGTCTCTTCGCCATCCACCTTGCACCCTCCTTGTCTGTCCCATAACCCTATGGCCTCCCTCCAGTGTCAGTTTACAAGAAGCCTCACTCCCTTTTCTCAGCTTTCCTCTGGCCTCCTTGTCAATTCCCAATCCTCTTGCGGCCTCCCCATCTCCTTGCATCCAACCCCCACCGCCCCCTTATTTCCCTACACCTCCCTTGTGGCTACTCATCTTCCCTAATCTCCTATCCACTCTATACCCTGCTTGTGACCTTATTGTTTGCACCTGAACTCATTCCTCTCCTACTCCCTTCCCCCCAGCCCCAATTCCTACCCATCTCTTCCCTCCCACCACCCAGACTCAGATCCTTTGCAGTTCTCCAGCTCCTTACAGAAACCTTGTAGCCCCATATCTCCTTCTGGGCCTTCCTTTCCCAGTTCCCTATGGTCCCCTGTCTCTCCCCAGACCACTTGCAGCCTCCATCTCCGCTCAGACATCCCGTACTCTCGCACAGGGCAATAAGGCAGCTCTCCATTCCCTGTCCCAGCATTGACATTGCTCCCGGCCGTGCCTCCTATCATCTTTTCCTGGTCTTGGCAAAACAATGGCTGCCCCCAGTCCTTGGTCTCCCAGAACACATCCCTGTGATTGAAGGAGCAGCTCCTCACTCTTTCCTTCCATTCAGCTTGTAAGCGTGACTTTTCTCTGATTACTCACCCCTCTGAGTGGTTTGCCTAGATGATTTAGGGACTTTTGGAGATGCATCCATCTGCCAGCTGGTGTATATTGAGCATCTGTATGGCACACACAGAGATCTGTAGTTTCCTTCACTATGTCATCTATGGCCAGAAATAATCAGTGCTAACCTGGCCGACCCTAATGTCTGTAGTGACTCCTATCTTTAAGGCATGGATGCCTAGTTTGCTTGTAAAACGTTGTTGGTGGAAACACTGCAGAAGATAATAGCAGACATTAGAGCAAATCTAGCAGAATGAAAATTGAAGTCTTTGCTGCAGGATGAACTTGCCGATTAAGTAAGTTTTGATGTGTAGCTTCTGTTATAATATGGTGGCTCAGTGGTTAGCACTGCTGCTCACAGCGCCAGAGACCTGAGTTCGATTACAGCCTTGAGGGCAACCGTCTGTGTGGAGTTTGCACATCCTCCTCGTGTCTGCGTGGATTTCCTCCAAGAGCTCCGGTTTCCTCCCACAGTCCAAAGATGTGCAGGCTAGGTGGATTAGCCATGCTAAATTGCCCATAGTGTTCAGGGATGTGTAGATTCAGTGGGTTATGTGGGATGGGTCTGGGTGGGCTGCTCTGAGGGTCAGTGTGGACTTGTTGGGCCGAAGGGCCTGTAATTCATTACCTCAGTGACTTTGCACTTCCTGGTTCCTTGTTAACTGAATGCTCCTTTGTGGACTGGTTTGAAACATTTCTTTCTGCTTTGCAGCCTCCTTCTCTTTTCCCCTTCCTTCCAGTCTGCATTCTATGATTCTATGAAATGGGACAGCTCCTTCCATAGCCTGCAGTGCTGAGCCAATTGCAGCTTCCCACCATTAGGTGTTATGTTGGTATTTTCATAAACAGTCCAGCACAGTAGAAAGACATTTGGCCGATGGAGTCTGCAATAGTCTCAACTACTAAGGTTTGCCTTGCACAAAATAGTGTTTGCATCGAAGAAATTTCTGCTCAGTTAAATGTTTGTCCATTTGAAAACAAAAATTTTTCAAAGTAATTTATTTTTGTTAATGTTGCAGGCAGCAAAAAGTTGGGGATGTCTCTGTCATGGCAGACAGAGCCTCATCCCATACACTCCTGTCGTTGTCAAGTTCCTACTGATCCCTCCCCGACTAATTCGGATCCACACCCCTACGTCAGCTTGGACGGCAGCCCTAGCACCTCACCCCACAACGTGGAGATCGTGCACAGTCCCCCAAACCGCCGCAAGAAGCTTTTCACTTTCTCCCGCCCTCCTCGCAGCCGCGATACAGACCGATTTCTGGATGCCCTGAGTGAGCAGCTAGGACAGAAGGTTACCATCATGGACGAGTTCATGAACCCAGAGAACGATTATGAAGAAGTAAGTTTTTCAAACCTAATAGATTTGCTGACTATTAGCAAGCATTCAGATCAACAGTGACAGCACTTTCACATTAAAAAAAAATGAACCGGAGAACTTCCTAAGTGTCAAGTATTTAAAAGGTCAGTGGGTCACTAGGGGATGGAGTCATTGAAGGAGGGCCACCAGGAGAGGGCAGGGTTCAAAAGTTTTGGCAAAGATCTGTAGCCCGGGTTGTGGGTGAGGTTTTTGACTTGCTCGCCAAGCTGGCTTGTTTTTGTTCAGACATTTTGTCACCATGCTAGATGACATCATCAGTGTGATGTTATTCTACTCCACTTGGAATTTGCACTGTTTGGTCTGTTATGGTGAGGGTGTTGGAGATGAGGGAGAAGTTATTGGGCTGGGGTGGGTCATTGAGGGGATAATGAGTAGAAATTGGGATGATGGTTCGCAGTGGTCACACCATGCCAAGGTGTGATGGACAAGCTAGATCTTCTCCTGTCCACTTTTGTACATTTCTAAGATTTTTAATTTATTTCAAATAGATAACTTTTATATTCCCAGACCTGAATTACAGACAGGACTCTGAAGAAAACAGATATTTCACGAATGTGCATCCAATCTAGAATTTAATTGTAAATTGGAGTGGTTTATACATAGTATAACAGCTAACTAGGAGTAAGGTAAAGGCTCAAACATAAGTGAATGGTTCCTGTATAACTCAAAAAGTGGTTCTGAGAAGTGTGTGTGTGTGTGTGTGTGTGTATGTATATAAGGGTAGGAGATGTGATGATGGAGTTTTATGGGAAGGATCTGTGAGATGGGCTGCACAGTTGCTGAGTGGTTAGCAGTGCTCCCTCACCGTGCCAGGGACCCAGGTTCAATTCCAGCCTTGGGCAACTGCCTGTGTGAAGTTTGCACATTCTCCCTGTGTCTGTGTGGGTTTCCTCCAGGTTTCCTCCCACAGTCCAAAGATGTGCAGGTTAGGTGGATTGGTCATGCTAAATTACCCATAGTGTCCAAAGATGTGCAGGTTAGGTGGATTAGCCATGGGAAATGCAGAGTTAGAGGGATAGGGTAGGGTGCTGGCTCTGGGTGGTCTCTCTTCGGAGTGTTGGTGTGGACCCAGTGGGCCAAATGGCCCGCTTCCACACTGTAGGGATTCTATGAGACTGTTACAGTTTTACGTTTTGATGAACATGCTCTTTTCTTTCCCAAGATGACCTTTCCAGAGGAGCAGGGAATCTATAGCGTAAATGATCCAAGCAGCCCCAGTGAATATGTCAGCAGCAGCGACGATGGAAGTTCCTTAACATATTCATCATGTTCAGATCCTATCCCACCTCCTCCTCAAAGTCCCCCTCCTCCTCCACCCATACAGTTCAATGACCCGAAACCTGACACCCTAATCTCCGAGTTGAAAAGGGTCATCCCACCTCCACCCCCACTGCCTCCACCCCCCTCTTACTCCTCCAGCCACCATCAGACTATTCCTCTCCCACCACCGCCACCTCCTCCACCATTACCACCCTCGTCTGGCCCCCCTCCACTGCACCGTGGCTTTCACCGTAGAAGTGAATCCAGTCACATGAGTGTGAAGAGGCTGCGATGGGAGCAAGTGGAGAACTCTGAAGGCACCATTTGGGGTCAGGTATGTGAAGCTGCTACTTTAGAGTCTAGGCTAATTTCATTTGCTGGCTTTCCAAGTTGCACCTTTCAAGCACTTAATAAGACAGCAAGAGGATGAACTTCGACAGTGATGAGTGTAGTGGAGACAAATTGGGAAAATATTCCTGACTTCAGGAAGGGTGAGGTGCTTGTGGTAGGTCAGGGAATAACTGGAGAAGGGAAGTCTTTACAATTGATTAATTAGTGACTTGTATTCAGTAGCTTGAGCAATCAGTGACTCCAACAGTTGTACTCAGCCCAACATTGATCCCGTGTACTCAGTGGGTCCATGACTCAGGCCATGTAATTGGCAGTGCCAGTGTTGAACCTGCAAGCTTAAAGGTTCAAACACCCCAGCCATATGATCAGTGCCTCCAGCACTCGGGCCATAAATACTACATCAAAATTTGATGGATGCTGACACCTTGGCCTGGATTTCTTGCCTGTGTCAGAACAGAGATGGGAAGACTTTAAAAGTGGTGAGCTGGGCCCAGTTCTGGAATTCCTGTCTCCTTCCCACAAAGGGAAAGCCAGATCACATTCAGGACTCTTTACTGTCTACACTGTAGGTGTGCATTTCAGATCCTCCACTACCTTGATGCAGTCATGCTGGCTTTAGGAGGAAATATTGTTCACCATTCCACAAAAGAGTCATGAACCATGGGGGAAAGCCCTAATCTGGAGTTGGGAGCCAAAACAGACACTCAGCATTTCCTTTGGAAAAATATTCTCCCCTTACCTTTTCATAAGCAATACCAAAGTTAAACAAAATGTGTGTCACTGGGGAGAGTGGCTGTACTGGGAGGTGAAGGTTATTGAAGAGTGGCTGTACTGGGATAGGGAAGATACTGGGGTGTTTTCAGAGGGGATAAGGAAGAAGAGGTCATTGGAAGAAAGATCATGAGGGCAATAGACCATTGAAAGAAAAACTGTTGTAATAACTTGATCATTCTGTTAAGGTAATAAACTGTCAATGAAACATATTGAGCAGGCCCTTTTGCAACTTGTACAAGGTGTGTGTGTGTGTGTGGACACTAAAGATTAGAGAGTTTAGCAACTATGTGTACACGTGAATCAATTTCCCAGTCAACGTCTAACTGGCTGGTCTCGCCATCTGCCCACCTCCCATCATGCTTTGGGCCTGTCTCTAGGCACAGCAGGCTTGTCTCCAGCTGAAGCCTATTTCCCTGATATGTAAATTGGGTGATAGGACTTGGACAGGATTACAGGGTAGAGAAAATTCCTGATTCCCAATATTTATCTTGTCCATGAAAATCGGCCTTCTATTTTCATGAGGGAGTTGGATCTTACCTTGAAGAGGGAAAGGATCACATCTTCTTGAGCTGAGTGGGCTAGTCAACAACATTTGGTCCCTCTTTGATCATTCAGGTGTGGAAGTTTCCAACATATTGGTTCCCTTATTGGGTTTTCTAATTTTTCCCAGGAGACTATATGTCTAATCTAGTGGGTGATGGTATGGGGTGATACCCAGAGTCAGGATTTTCTGCTTATAATGAGGTGAGACATCTTTGTAACAAGATGGGGGAGTTTGATGATCTTTTCCTGCCTGTCAATTTTACCGTGTTGTAAAATAAAAGTTGTTTTAAGTTGGAAATCAAAGCAATATAAGAAAAGGAGATCATTGTTGAGACGTTGAAAATAGAACCAGCAACAAGTATAAACCGGAAAAATAACCAGATTCCATTTTAGTTTGCACAGAGTTATCTGTTCTTAGTCACAGTGGTATTAGTAGGACTTTTCTGATTATATATTGGAATATTCTGGGGGCATGTCTGGAGGGTTCTTGTTCCTGATCAATATTCAGTGACCTGGTTGAAAATATGCATGTCCTTAGTCCAGATCAGCCGTAGTCTATGGTATGTCTCGTAGTCAAATAATCTGCTAGGTAGAAACATGAAAAATTGTTGATTAGCTGAGATACAACTGGTGCCTTTTGAGAACCCTATGCCAATAAGATTCAGGAAGGGGAATAGCTGAGCACATTATGTCCAGAAGTTGAGTCGGACCAAAGCAGGAAAGTGTTTGGTCCATTTTCAGGATTTGCTGTTACTTTCCTTTTGTTACAGGGACTATGCTCCCCACATTACCTGTGTGGTATGTTGCCAAATGCTAACCTGGATGTGAAACAGGCTCAGTCGTACTGAACGTTTACCTTGTACTAGAAGCCATTAGGAGCTTGGTCATCATATAATAGCAAGGATTCTGTGCTGCATTGTGTTTATTTGAAGCCATCTGATAATCAGTTATCTCTACTTCATTTTTCTCAGTTTGGAGAGGACTCAGATTATGACAAGCTGAGTGACATGGTCAAGTATCTAGATCTGGAGCTGCACTTTGGGACCCAGAGACCAACCAGTAAGTGACAGCCTGGCATTGCACAGCGTCTAACAGAATATGACACATCATCTGAGTGCACTTGTCAGTCTACACAGTGTGAACAAGACTGTGTGCCAGTTATTGAGTACACACATTATGTGCCAAGCAGTGATTACATACCATGTGTGGGTAGTCTGCACCAAACTGCAACACTTTCTCCAAGTATCTTTGTCACTTTTTATGTTGATGAAACCAGGTTGCCTCAGTGGTGGATTAATACACTACAGTCCAGTTATTCCCCTTCAGAGACAAGGTCCATATGGTGTGATCATCAAATGTGCCTATGTAGATTCTTGTCACATGGTCCTGTCATAGACTAGTGCCAGCTGGTGACTGGATGATCACATAAGCCTGGTTTAAATATTTCTCCTTATTATGTCATTTTCTTTTTACAGAAGCAAGTTTTGTACCTGAAACCTTTAAGAAGAAGGATATGGTGGAAATATTATCTCGTAAGAAGGCTTACAATATGTGTAAGTTGCTTGCCTCCCTCCAAAGTCATTCCCGTTATGCAGCTAGGGAACAGAGTTCCTGTTTCAATTATAAACTCAACTGGAGTTGCTCATGGACAAATATTTGTCTTAGTTTTTGAATGGCTACTTGATAGTACAGAGCTTGAATATTACTGAAAAGAGATATGCAATCATAGCTTTTTGTGTTGCATTCATTAGGATAGATATAAGAAGGCCAAATCTCAAAGGAAGCAATAATTTATACTGCATGAGAAAAGAGTGCTGATTAGTTGACAATTTTATTCTGTTAGTCAAGAGTTGTCAGAAGAATGCACCAAGAACTCCTATTGAATTTAATATTCATCCTCTGCTGAACAATCCTGAATTTGCTAAGAATTATTCTTACAGCCAATTTAGAATTATTAGCAGAGCTAACAATGTAGCTTACTTACACCTACTGCACATTACATATATTCATACTCAGGATCTATCCTGTACAAGCTTAACTAACATGTCCAGGCATTGTTCCTTATTTGAACTAAAGAAAAACATAGTATCAGTATTTCCCTGGCAATTCTCCATGAAAATGCCCCATCCAGTCAGAGTTAAATCACTTTGTATCTTTTTGTCGATGTGCATGTTGGGATTGCCACAGTCCCACAGATTACAAATCAATCCCATTGGCAACTTCATGAATAGTGCCCTATTCTCCCTTCTCCTCACCATGTGAGTTTGATGCTGAGATGGTGCATATAAAAATTTATCCTGCATGATAATAGATACCACCATGATCAAAATTGTCACCTGCTGTACCTCATGAAAATTCATGAAAGGGCCAATATCCATCACTTTTGGTTCTGAACAGTGTCCAATCTACCTCAGGTTACCCTGGAAGGGGAAAGTGTCCTAAATATTTGAACAGCAGATGTCTCACTCTGCTCTGTGCAGTACGTCTATCAGTAATTTTCTCCACTAACTGGATGCTACTGTCAAGCCAAAAAGATGCTTTGCCCATCTCACAAATGTGTAAAGTGATATTTGAGTTTCAGTGCTGGTGTGATGCCAGGTGTGCAGGTCAAATGCCCAGTGGTGGTGGACTGTATCAGTTAACATCCCCCAAGACTATGCACAGTGGGCAGTATGCTGAACATGTTCAATCAGCCCATGCTTGCAAGCCTCAGAAGATTCTGTCCACCAACCGATATGATTCTGCTATTGGAAAACATTTATCAAATAATCCAGAGTGTGCTATGAGCTACACCAGAAACCAATTTAAGATTATCAGTCAGGCTCAGTGTGATGCTTTTGTGTGTGCTAGAAGGTCTGTACATAAGTAATCAGTATGCTGTTTTGTGTAGGCAAATGGAATTTGTATAATGCAACTTTTCATAAAATAAGGGTCATGGAGACAGCTAATTGTCTGCTGCACCCCTCAGAAATGCACTGTCTACCAGCTTGATCTTAGAATTAAGATCGACAGCATCTTCATGCCAATGATGGCTCAACCAATCAGCACCCGCTTTTCATGCTGTATAAGAGACCTTTCTCAGGTCTGTTTCTTGCATTCTAGTTCTGATAAGTGCAAAATGAAAAGCTTCAATTTTTTTGTCTTTTAACAACATTTAAGATCTTGTGGTCCAGGGCTTGTACTGAGTAGGATGGAGGCACGGAGAAAGAGTGGTGTGTTGGGTACTGATGGTTGAGAAAGGATGTAAATAATGACATAGAAAATAAGAGCAGGATGAGGACATTCAGCCTTTCAGATGCACTTTCTCATTCAATGAGGTCATGGCTGATATTCTATTCAACACTGTTTCTCTGCAGTATCCTGTAACCTTTGATATTTTTAACATTCTTTTCCAATGCCATATAGATTAATGTTTCCTTTCAAATTTGGCATTCTTGTACCTGTTCTGGTGAATACGAAATGAAAAGCTTTGACTGCATGTCTCTTTTCAGCAGTGTTCAAGCTCTATGCTATCAATTGGCTACTCATAAGCTAAGATAAATATTTCTCCATGAGCACTTCCAATTGTGTTTATAATTGAAACAGGCATTCTGTATCTAGATACCAGAAATCTTTCAAAACTCAATCTTGAACACACTCAATTGTTGATCCTCCACAGCCCTCTGGGTAGTACAGTGGTTAGTACTGATGCCTCACAGCACTGGGGACCCAGATTCAATTCCAGCCTTGGGTGACTGTGGAGTTAGCATGTTCTTCTTGTGTCTGTATGGGTTTCATCCGGGTGCTCCAGTTTCCTCCCCCTTTCCAAAGATGTGCATATTAGGTGGATTGGCCATGCTAAATTGCTCATAGTGTTCAGGGATATGCAGGCCAGATGTGGCCTCATTAAAGCTTGAAATAATTGCAATAAGGGGTCATTTCTTCCTCTACTCAAATTCCTTTGTAATAAAGACTAACATAGCATTTGCCTACTGTACCTGCATGTTAACTTTTGATTACTCCTAAACAAAGATATCCAAGTTCCTTTGAAAGTAAACACTCCTCAGATTAGAAATGTTTGGTAATTTTGTTTTTCTCTAACGAAGCATTTCACCTGACATTTCTCTGCATTGTATTCCATCTGCTACACATTGGTGGGGGTGCTTGTGTCAATTTAACTTTGACTCAGAGCGCTAGTGACCACATTTCAGAAATTTGATGTTTACACAATGGTAAGCATGAATTGTAGAAAAAAACATCCAAAGCAATAAATTGATAAGGGATCAAGGGGTATGGGGAGAAACTGATAGCAGGGTACTAGGTTGGATGATTACCTATGATCATAATGAATAGCCTTCTCCTGCTCCTATTTTCTTTATTTCTGTTCATTTGTATCAGAGATTTCCCGTTGATCTTACGTGCTGATGACACACTGTTGTCTGTATAGCAATAGTCTCTAGGCAACAAACCCTTCTGCCTGAGGCCTGGTCCATCGATTGGCACAAAGTGCCTGATGCCAGGAAATCGGAGGCCTGCTGGCAAACCTGGCAGGGTTAGCTGGGCAGCCTTCTGAGGGCATGAGGATCCCTACAGCTTGAATTTAATCTTTGTGCCACCACTAAATTGCAGTTGACTCAAGAATAGTGGGTGTCATTTGGCTCAGTAATGACCCTAATCGATATCCCATCAGAAATGGCTGGCAATTCCACATCAGTTCCTTTCATTTGTCTGACTGACTTGGCAGTGGGAAAGTGTGTGAATGCTTACTCACTGCTGGGAAGCTTGTGCACGGCGTCTGCCACAATTAAGTGAGTGCCACCACCATGCTCCCTGGCACAATATGTCTGCTCCACCTCTCACTTCCTTGTGATGACGGATTCTCCTTCTGATTTTATCTCTGTTAGCTATTCTCATCGCCCATCTGAAACTCTCTGCACCGGAGCTCCGTCAGATTCTCATGACAATGGAGAATGATCGTTTGGAACCCTCTCATATTAAGCAGTTGCTGCTGTATGCTCCTGATGAGGAAGAGTTGAAGAATTTCAAGCGGCACATGGCTGATCCCAGTAAGCTGAATGAACCGGACCAATTTGCCCTGGAGGTGGGTCCCACATAAACTGTCATGGCTCTTGATTTATATTAAAGGCACTTAAACCAACTTTCATCAATTTCTCTTACACTTTGGAGTTAATGGGACAAATATAGAGAAACTATATTTGGGTGGGAAGAGTTCAGAGCAACTTAATGTTAAAACCACATATGAATAATGTCAGGAAACAGTTCACAAAATAGGCCTTAGAAATTAGGAGTTGTCTCCTTCAAAAAGTTGTTGTTGGGGGCTCTGAAGAACTGAGAAGTCAGATTAGACTGGATAGATTTTAATGACTGACACAGATGTGATTGGCGGAAAGGTCTCCTTTGAAGCCATAAATTTCTGATCCTATGAGACCAGCAAAGGTTTAATTGTTCTAATTGAACAGTGTGATAGATCCACAAGGCTGAATGGCCTCTTGCAGTTAATACATGTCTGTTTATTTCACATGACCCTCCTCACCACCAGCTCCTTTGTCAAAATGCCATTTCACACCAAAGATCTTAGTTTGGAGACATACAATAAATTATCATTGTAATATTTTTCTACTTTGTCAAATTTGATTATTCACCTCAGCTTACATACAAATATATAAACGAGGAGGAGGATTAGGCCTTCCAGCCCTTCAAGCCTGCTCCACCATTCAGTAAGATTGTGGCTGATTTGGTAGTAACCTGAAATCCATATTCCCACCTACCCCTTGTTAACCTTTCAACCCTTGCTTAACAAGAATCTATTTGCCTTTGTCTTAAAAATATTCAAGGACTCTGCTACTACTGTCTTGTCAGAATGAGGGTTCCAAACATTGACAAACCTCTTAAAGATAAAAACTTGACCTCATCTCTCTTTTAAATGGGTGACCCTTGCTTTTTAAAGAGTGGCTCCTAAATGTAGATTCTTCCACAAGAGGAAACATCCTCTCAACATCTCCTTTGTCAAGACCCATCAGGATCTTGTATGTTTCAATCAAGTTACCTGTTACTGTTCTAAACTCCAGCAGTAGAAGCTCAGCCTGATCGAGCTGTGCTCACAAGACAAACCCCCATTCCAGGTATTAGTGTAGTAAACCTCTAAATGCCTCCAAATGATTCGCATTCTTCCTTAAATGAGGTGACTGGTATTGTGCACAGTACTCTAAATATAGCTTCACCAGTACCCTATATAACTGAAACATGATCTCTCTACTTTTGTATTCAGTTACCCTCATGGTAAAGGATAACATTCTATTAACTTCCTGCATACTAACTATTTTTGTGATTCATGCATGAGGACGCCCAGATTCCTTTGCATCTGAAAGCTTGACAAAGTCTCACCGTTAAGATAATATGCTCCCTTCATTATCCTTCCTGTTAAAATGGATGATTTCAAGTTCTCCCACATTATTTATGTATGTATGTATGTATTTATTTATTATTTCATTCATTCATTGGACATTTGTGTTACTGGCTGGGCGAGCAGTATTGACTAGTTATCCTTGAGAAGGTGGTGGTGAGCTGCCTCCTTGAAACTGCTGTTGTCCATTTGATGTCGGTGCTGCCTCCTTCAAACTGCTGTTGTCCTTTTGATGTAAGTGCACCTACAAATCTGTTAGGGAGGGTGCTCCAGGATTTTGACCCATTGACACTGAAGGAACAACGATATGCTTCCAAGTCAGGATGGTGAATGGGTTGGAGGGGAACTTGCAGGTGATAGTGTTCCCATGTATGCGCTGTCCCTGTTCCTTGAGATATTAGTGATTATGGGTTTGGAAGGTGCTGCCTTAGGAGCCTTGAAGTATTTTTGCAGTGCATCCTGTAGATAGTGCTACTGAACATTGGTGGTGAAGGGAATGAATGTGGATGTGGTGCCAATCAAGTGGTTGCTTTGTCCTGGATGTCATCAAGATTTTTGAGTGGGGATTATTTCCAGGCAAGTGGACATTATTTCTTCACACTCCTAACTTATGCCTTGTAGATGGTGGACAGCTTTAGTCAGGAGGTAAGTTGCTCACTGTAAGGTTCATAGCCTTTGACCTGCTCTTGTAGCCACAGTATTTTTTATGGCTCATCCCAGTTCAGTTTCTGGTCAATGGCAATCTCCCTGATGTTGATAGTGGTGGATTCAGCAATGGCAGTGCCACTGAATGTCAAGGGCACTAATTAGATTCTCTCTTGTTGGAAGAGGTCACTGCTTGGCACGTGTGCTTCAACTATTAGTTGCTACTTGTCAGCCTAAACCCGGATATTGTCCAGGTCTTGCTGCATTTGCTCAGAATTTTATCCACTCTCTTTTACCAATCTATATCTTTTTGTACCTGCCTTATGTTCTCTTAACAACTTACTTATCTTGCAGCCATGTCTTCCATTCCTTCATCTAAATGATTTATATAAATTGTAAACAGTTGAGATCCCAACATTGATCCCTTCATTATATTACTCAATGCATTTTAAGACCCACATATGCCTGGCTCTACCTCCTGTTAGCCAGCCAATCTGCTACCCATGCCATTATACACCATGAGCTTTTATTTTCTGCGATAGCCACTGATGTGGCACCTTATCAACACACTTCTGCAAATCTAAGTACAGTGTATCAACCAGTCCCCCTTTATCCATTGTACAAAGACCAATAGATTAGTCAAGCATGACTTCCCTTTCACAAAACCACATTGATCCTGCCTGATTACCCATTCCCTGCCATAAATTCTTTAATAAAGGATTTTAGCTTTTTCTAACTGACCTGTTGTTTCCTGTTTTCTGTTTCTCTCCCTTTTTGAACATATGCAGTTGCATTCACTGACTTCCAGTCTAGTAGCTCCACCCCCAAATCAAGGAAGTTTTGAGAAATAAAATCCAATGCATTTATTATCTTGCTAGCCACTCCTATAAGAGGCTAGGATGATGTCCATTAGTGTGCCTTATTGCCTCATCATGCAATATATAAATGCAAGTAGTTAGTACCTTTTGGAATAAAGAGTCAAGGCACTTCATACAGGATGATCTAAAGGGTTAAAGGTAGGTTCTGAGAAAATTCTCAAAAGAGGAATGGGAGGTAGAGAGGCAGAGGTCTTTGTGGAGAAACTGTAAAGGATAAATACTGGCCTACTGTATATGTTCTTAATAAAACACATATAACATGAATTAGTAGCTTCACAGAAGGACAGGGATAAATATATCCCTATGTGTGATATGTTTTGCACAAAGCTTCTTTTCTCAACACAGATTCATGAAAAACTATTTCTTCTACATCCCTGTACATGTGTAGATGCTGTCAGTAAAGGAATATAAAATCAGACTGAAGAGCTTACATTTCAAGATCACGTTGCAAGAGAAGACAGAAGAGATAAAGTCTGGACTGCAGTGTATCTACAAGGCCTCAGTTGAACTGAAAAGTGGCAAGAAACTGGCAAAGATTCTTGAGGTAACAGTATAGTGTTTCTGTTGAATTTAATAAGCTGCAGTTCACATTTCATCAAGCCTGTTGTGAGACAAGGTAACAGCAACTTGGGTTGAAAGTAAGATCACATTGCTGCAGAATGGTGAGTGACTTAGCTTGAATACTGTGTAATTAGTAAGTCTTCAAAAAGAAGCTTGTTCATTCTTGTCTCATTACTAGTTTTGAGCCTGTAATCCTGGCAGACACTGTAGCGCAGTACCAAAGGAATGCTGCACTGTTGGAGGTACAGATGTGATATCAACAGGAGACCCTATCTGCCCTCTGAGGTGATAGGAAAGATTCCATGACACTCGAGTAAGTAGTTGCATACCCTGATCTCATATAAACACACAAAGATACAGATTAGGAGCAGGAGGCCACTCAGCCACTTGAGCTTGCTCCACCATTCATTAAAACCATGACTAATCTGATGATTCCGTATATCCCCAAATAACCTTTTATTCCCTGGATTACCAAGAATCTTTCTCTCTATGTTAAAATATTAAAAGATTCTGCTTCTACCACCTTTTGAGGAAGAGGGTTCCAAGGTCTTATGACCCTCTGTAAGAAAACATTTCCTTTCATGCTTCTATGTCTAAATGGGCAACTCCTTATTTTTAAACAGTGACCCCTAATTCTAGACTCTCAGCCACATGGAATCATTCTTTCCACATCCACCCGTCAAGATCCATCAGAATCTTGGATCTTTCAATCAAATTGTCTCTTAATCTACAAAACTCCACTAGATTGCCAAATCATTGTTCTTGAGACAATCCATGCATTCTAGGTATTAGTTTAGTATGAACTCTTTCCAATGCATTTACATCTTTCCTTATATAAGGAGACAAATGCTGTACTTCAGATGTGACCTTACCACTGCCCTGTATCACTGAAGTGTAACCTGCCATGGCCAATATACTCCTCAACCAACACTATCAAAATAGATTCATTTTGTCATTTGTTTGTGGGACCCTACAATGTACAAATTGGTTGCCTTGTTTGCCATTATTACAACATTGACTATTTTTGGAAGATGCCTTATTGATTGTGAAATATTTGGCATGTCATAGAGATGCTAAAGGTGAGTTATTTTTCTTTATTTCTCTAAATTTGTTTGCATCTCTGAAAATTTGTCTTTATGGGCAGGATGTTATGGTTTCTCGTGGGGTGAGGAATGTGGAACAGGATGTATGTGGTCCATCCACTCCCACCCTCTCAGTGCAACAACTCAAGTGGCCATAAGGCAGTAAGGAAACCAATTAGTGTTGGGTAGGGGAACTCTGCACCAAACTGGGCATCAAGGGTGGGACATCAAGTGGGAGAGAGGTTTGGCTGTGAATCAGAAGACAGTCACGGCAGACAATTTAAAGGAATGCTGTCTTTGTATTGGTGGCAGCTTCTAATGAAATCCATGAGTGGTGATCCATGTTGTTTGGAAGAAGTATGGGAAGAGGGCAGCTTCCATATATGACACTGAAACAGTGGATCAGTAGAAAGGGCAGGCATGTTTTTCCATTCTGGTGACAATTGTGGCAGAGAAGCCTCATTCAGGAGCTTTCCTGGACAGGAAGTAACACCTGAGAACACACCTCTTGTCCCATGTCCCTTACGGATAAGAAGTGTTCAGAAAAAGAGTTATATTTTATCCTTTCAATTTGTTTATCTTACACAGAGGCTAAAGGTCAACTTGACACTTTGCAACAGTATCGGGTTTGAATCCTCGCTCTTTCTTGCAGTTGCCTAATGAAGTCGAAGGGCTGAGACCACAGACAGCCGGACTGTTTGTCAGTGACTTTCTATGAGTCCCCCTTCAGTCTGTGAATGATCAGTGGGATTTCCTAATGCCATGAGTTGACATGAGGAGACATCCTCACCAGGCTAAAAAAGCCTGAATGGAGATCAAAGAGAAGGTCAGCAGAAGTGGGTTGGGATGCCATGAGAGACAGAATGACTTTTTGCATTTAACAAGGGTGAATGTCCGAAATGTTTGTAGGCAGTGAGGATTGAAGGATTGCATGACAATTGTTTGTTGCACACGTAGAAGGGAATGAATACATTTCATGACACCTGGGTTTCTGAGGGATGTCTAAAATCTATGACCTGTTACTTTTCAAGGATCGTTAAGAAGTGCCAACAATATGCAGATTGGGCACACAGACACCAGCATGATTTCTCCACAGAAGAAACATAACAGCGTTCCTTTTTCTTTGCAGGAGAAGAGGGCTTATAAAGCCTATGAGAGATCATGCATCATTGGTAGAACACCAAACCTGACAATTTTAACTGCACTGGAGGATGTTTTGGTGTTGGCCAGCAACAATAATGCAGGACCATTGGTTGTAGAGAGGCTGGAGATTGGCCCAAGGGTTTTCAGATTCCTAAGGCCCAAAACTTGTTCCTGAAAAAGTTTTTGCTGAAGCGGGGTGGGGGAAATTGGGGAAGAGGACAGTGTGCAATAGTGAGAGGATTGAATCTGGCAACTTTCAGTATTCAGAAAGGTGTCTCAGTTTTAAGGGTGAGATTCTGCATAGCACTTTCCGTGTGTGTGTGTGTGTGGGGTGGGGGTGTGTGCAGTTGGGAGTTGGTGAGTTGTATCCCTCCTCCACAGGTGTTATCAGACCTTAAAGTCCAGCTGTATGCAAAATTCGGAAACATTAACCTTGAAACTGATCACGGCTGAGCAGTTTATTCTCACCAGTCACGTTTCACTCGGTTGATTGATTTAACTTCCCAAGTTGGACATCTGTTGCAGATTGCATTAGGAAACAGTGACTTTTTTTGGGGGGAAAGAAATGTCATCACTTTGTCCATGATTATTGGACTGCATTTTAAGATATTTGTCCTGCAGCTCTATTTATTCGATGGAAACAATTGCAAATACAAAAGCCACTGCAGGCAGCAGCCCTGAGAGATCCATGTTAACCTTTTAAGGAAGAGGAGACCTCACTTTCACATCTTTATGCAGCATGTGGAATCAGCGCAGAAAAACACACCTTGTGGGTAGGCTTGAGTTGGCTGAAGAGGTACAACACACCCATCCGAGCATCTGACAGTCAGAGGATCAGCTGTCAGAGACTGAGAGCACAATAATCTGATGCTCAAAGAAATACTGGGGCAACCTAGACTCTGAGCTGCAGTTTGATAATGAGCCTCTGGATCATGTGGCAGATGCTGGCATACAAAGTAAGGTGTGTCAGTTTTCAAAGGATTTGCTTGAGCAAGCACAGATAAAGGAAGAGTCCATTCAGGCACAGTGTAGCAATCACCCTCTCTTCACAATGAATAACTTCCTCCATGGAAAAGGTCCATAATCATCATGGAGGACAGGCACAGCAGCTAATTGATGGGATATTGTTGGAGAGGCATTCTGACCTGCACTCCATTGTGTGGTCTCTGAGCTCCACTGCCGAGCGCCCAGACTGGTGGAGATGACTGGAGTCACAGCTGGGTCCTGGTTCCTTTCCGGTTGGAAGTGAGGGCCTAAAGACCTCGGGATGGCAGGTGGCAACTGCTGTCACCATTTTCAGGGCTCTCCTGATGGAGGCAGCCACACTTCCACCAAACATTCCGAATGTTCTGGTGACTGATCTGACTCCTGCAAATATGCATGTAACCCCCAGCTTACAGCCTCTGGTAACCAGAGTATATCCATCAAAGTCATCCCTGATAGCAGGCATCAGGGTCAGCAGTCTGCCACAGGCTGTCTTCAGCTGGTGGTGAGAAGGAGCACCACAATGTAGCTCCCATTAGAGAATTTTAAAAGCACATTACTCACACATGAGTTGACGAGGGTGATTATACAGTGTTCTCTTATTTGGAGATATGTTGCTCAGGATCTGCATTATATGATGGTATGTGTACATGCTGTTCTGGCTTCACTAGTGTTTAATTTGTATGGTGTCCTGATTCGGATTTGGATTGAGTGATGTTATTGAGGGAGTTCTTGATCATGTATGCAATGCTGAATTGTCTCTTATTATGCATCATCATTGGCACATGCATAACCTGCCTTGGGTTGATCTGAATAGCAAAGAGATATTTACAAACAAAAGCTAAATGAGGCAAAAAATGTTTTCATTTGATGAATTCCACTTTTGTTAAAATGTCACATTATATGACAGTTTTGGATGCCTCTGCCATCCAAAGCCTGTTGTACACTAAGTTCCACTGCTGGCTGGCGTGGCATCTCCTCCATGCCTTCAGACTTGCCCTGGCTCTGATGCTCACACACAAATCGTATGTTGATGGAATGGAAACCTTTCCAATTGATCAATGTCCCTGGCTGGCCTGATGAAGCTTTGATGGCCAAAGCTGCACACCTTTGATGGTGTGTAATCTATCATACCTCGAACATTGGGGAACGCAGAAGTATGTGTGCAGTCTGTAGCTCTCTCAACCTGACTAATGTCTCCTCTGGTGAAGGAAACAAAATCACTTGTTTGCCTAAACATTGCTTATGTGGCTCCCTTAGAGTAAGCTGGGACTTGTACTATTCTGCAAAGGTGCATTGAAATCCTGATGCATAAAAATTCAAGGCCACTGTCATCTTGAGAGTGATAGGCATAGAGCGTCCACCAACATAATTTGAACTGAGATAACAAGGTGCAGAGCTGGATGAACACAGCAGGCCAAGCAGCATCAGAGGAGCAGGCAGGCTGACGTTTCGGGCCTAAACCCTTCTTCAGAAAATCCTCATTCTTCATTTTCTGATAAAGGGTCTAGGCCCGAAACGTCAGCCTGCCTGCTCCTCTGATGCTGCTTGGCCTGCTGTGTTCATCCAGCTCTGCACCTTGTAATCTCAGATTCTCCAGCATCTGCAGTTCCTGCTATTTCTGAAATAATTTGAACTGATCTCTGCAGCCAGTAATTCACAAACTGAGGTCACTGTCCCCCTGGGGTATGCAGTCTGTGAAAACATTGATGGTCTCAGAGCTCAAAGTAATTCATCCTTTTGCATGTAGACTGTCTGTGCAGGGCAGTCTTCTCCCAGAATGGACTGATTGCTTTTGTTGTCTGTCTGGTGCTGTCCCTTGTTCAGAGCATTGGGTGCACCTGTCCTTGGGCAATTGGCTTCCTCTGTCTCCTTCTTCCTTACTGTAAAAAGCCTCCTTACAGAGTGCAAAATCCTCAAGGGGACAGGGGACCCTGGTTCCTCAGCTGGAGTCCTCACTTTCCTCCTTTTCTCCAGGCCCCCTTCCCTCTCACTTTCTCCTTATTTGTAATGTTAGCCTTTAAAAACTGAAGAAATAAAGCCAAACAGGCAGATACTGCCACCATCAGCAGCAAATTCTGCTGTTACATGAGGCTATTGCTTTTGTGTTGATTCCTCTTACCTGACATAAATGACTCCTCATGCTTTGCCCATGCAATTATCGACAACTGGAGTGAATCACCTCTAATTAGTTCAAAATATTGGATGGGCTTCTGATTTCGGTATCTACTTGTCTATTACAAACACAAAGCTCAGCAGAATGGCATCAGAATGCGGACCCAGTGCTGTCCTGCTGTGTTTTACCTAAGAATGGGAGGTAGTCCATCTAATCTGCATCCTTAAAATTCAGCCCTGTGTTATTGTGTGGAGATCTCTTTTTGTGCATTGTCTCTCTTTATAGATCCTTGTCTCTTTCTTTTTGGTTCTTTATATATAAATATGTGTGTTGGTCCCTCTGTTTCATCAGTTAGGTGACATGCTGCAGTTGAAACCCTATGTATCTAATGGGAGATGAATTGGGATTTACTTCAGTGGGAGATCCCCTATATAGACAGGAAATTCAGAGCAGAACCTGTCAGCTGATACCTTAAAGTATTGTTACCAGCACTCTTGTTGCTCCTCAATAATTGTTTCTTCATCTTTATTCTGACAGTTTGTTCTAGCAATGGGAAACTATCTCAACAATGGACAGCCTAAGAGTCCCAAAACAACAGGATTTAAAATTAATTTCCTGACAGAGGTGAGAACTGACAGTAACAGCAGTTGGAATCAAATATAACTAAGTGATGTTAAAAGAGCCTCTTAAGGGAAGGGAGTTGCTTTTATGGTTGGCTGCCTGTATGAAAGGGAAGACGCATAATCAGTTAAGTTGGCAACCCTGGGGTGGTATGGGAGACAATCGTGATTAATCGCTGCAGCATTTCTACAACATGAAAGCGGAGTGGTTAATTGTGTAGGTTCACCTAGGTGAAGGGTAATTAGCGATATCATTGCCTGCTGGGAATGGAAATGGAGTGAATGGTTAGCAATGTCGACACTTCCGTGGAGAGGCATGGTTGTGGTAAGTGTTCTGGTGTTCCTTGGGAAACATTTGCATTTTAAACATTAACCATTTTGGGACATTCTCTATTTTGAGTTTGGGAAATATCCCTTTGCTGCATTTCTCATGTAATCATGTGTATCTTTCTCCCAGCTTGACACCACAAAGACTGTGGATGGGAAATCTACTTTTTTGCACATTCTTGCCAAATCACTGAGCCAGCACTTTCCTGAGCTGCTGGACTTTGCCAAGGAAATTCCAACTGTGGCCCTTGCTGCAAAAGGTCAGTGACTGCCTGAAAGAAAATGCAGTGTTTGTACTGTAACAAGTTATTGATATCTAGAAGCATTGTCTTTTGCTAAAAACCCATGGAATGGAACCTTCTGGGACTCACTACTGTTGATAATGGTTTCTGGATGTTTGACTATTGTTTGGCTCCTCCCTTTGGGAGGAGAGGTAAATACACTATCACACAGCTGACCTGAGACTTGTAGATTGCTGAGAAGATTTGATGGTTCAACATTGAGGCTCTTGTCACAAAACACTCAGGCCCAAGCTAAAGGATTGATGTAGTTAGTCCAGTTAAACTTCAGGTTAGTGGCAATTCCTAGGGTATTAAAGGTTGGGGTGTTGGACTGTTGGCAGTGATAATTGGGCAGCACAATGGCTCAGTGCCTCACAGCGCCAGGGACCCAGGTTTGATTCCATCCTCAGACAACTATCTGTGTGGAGTTTGCTCATTCTCCCTGTGTCTGTGTGGGTTTCCTCCGGGTGCTCCGGTTTCCTCCAACAGTCCAAAGATGTGCAGGTTAGCTGGATTGGCCATGGGAAATTCAGCGTTTCAGGGATAGGGTAGGGGGCTGGTTGTGGGTGGGATCCTCTTCGGAAGATCATTGTGGACTTGATGGGCCAAATGGCCTGCTTCCACACTGCAGGGGCTGTATGATTCTATGAGGAGGTGATGGCCGAGTGGTACTGTTAATCCAGAGACCCCAGGTAATGTTCTAAAGACTCGAGTTCAAAACCCACCACGGCAGATGGTGGAATTTGAATTAAATTAAAAATTCTGGAAATAAGAGTGTAATGTTGTAAAAACCCATCTGGTTCACTAATGCCCTTTAGGGAAGGAAACTGCCATCCTTACCTGGTCTAGCCAATGTGATTCCAGACCTACAGCAATGTGGTTGACTCTTAACCTGTGCAATTAGGGATGGGCAATAAATGCAGGCCTAGACCATGATGCCCTCATCCTGTGAGTGAATAAAAAAAACAGATTCTAATGCTATTGCAGGTCTGGAAAAATTAAATGAGATGGTTATTGCCTATGATTGGAAAACAGGAATGAAGTGGAAGATTGTTAGCTGTAAATCTATACCTGTGGAGTGTGATTGTTATTGATGTGTGTCTTATTCTTTTTGTTAAAATAAATTTTCTTGACATTTCTAACTTATCAGTAAATTTGATAACAATATTCAAAGGCAGAAGTGAGACTGTAAGTGTGTATACCAGTTGTTTAAAAGCAATTGCAAGTCAAGGTTCGCTGTTCATTTTCCAGCCACATTATCAAAAACTTATATTGATCTCCAAGTAATAGTGGCAGTGTCCTACCTCTCAACCATGAGGCTTGGGTTCAAGTCCCACCTGCTCGTGTGTAATCACACATTAATTTGGTAGTGTGATGACACATCTGAAAAGGTTGATTAGAAAGTAGCTGTCAAAATTGTGCTGAATTGTGACTTGTCCACAATCTAAGATGCACAATCTAAGAATTGCAACCATTCTGGGCAGGAAAATGATGCTGAAGATTGTGGAATTCTTCCTCTTTTTCAGTCAATCAGAGAACGATAACTTCGGAAATTATCGATATCCACACAACCAGGAAGGACATACAGACAGTCTGTGAGAACATGGCAGTCACTGATGAGGACCGATTTGCTGCAGTCATGACCGTATCCTTTCAGACAGAAAACACAGAGCCTGTCACTCTTGGTTCATATCATCTTTGTTTATATTGGGCATCTTGTGTAATCTCATGGGCTGGTTTATATTGCCTGTGGGACAAGAGTCAGAGAGCTATTGCTGACAGCATGTATTTCCCTCTTGCTCCTAGCTTTCCATATCTTTTGCCACTGTTAGAAAAATTGTCCAGCCATTAGTGTGTTGGAGGTTTGATGGACCAGCTGGTATTTTCTCGTCCAACAGTTTTATATATCAGAATAAATAGTTACCTTGGCACTACCAGTACTAAATTAGGAAATATTGTTGATAGTGAGGAAGGTTATCAAAAATTACAGAGGGATCTTGATCAGATGGGGAAGTCAGCTGAGGATTAGCAAAATCAATTCAATACAGATAAGTGTGAGGTGTTGCCCTTTGGAACGTCAAACCAAGGTAGGACTTGTCCAGTAGATGGTAAAGTCCTGAGGAGTGTTGTGGAACAGAGCAACCTAGGAGTACAAGTACATAGTCCATTGAAAGTGGTGTCACAGGTAGACAGGGTGGTGAGGAAGGCATTTGGCATGCTGGACTTCATCGGTTGAGGCATGGAGTATAGGAGTTGGGATGTTATGTTACAGTTGTATAAGTCGTTGGTGAGGCTGCACTTGGTGTATTGTTTTGCTCACCCTGTTATACGAAAGGCATAGTTAAACTGGAAAGTGTACAAAGAAGATTCACAAGGATGTTGCTAGGACTAGTAGGTCTGAGTTATAGGGAGAGGTTGGCCAGGATAGGACTTTATTCCTTGGAATGTAGGAGAATGAGGGGTGACCTTATTGATGTGTATAAAATCATGAAGGGTATTGATAGGATGAATGTATATAGTCTTTATCCCAGGGATGGGGAATTGAAAACTAGAGGGCATAGGTTTAACGTGTGGGGGTAAGCTTTAAGACGGACCTGAGAGGCAATTTCTTCACGCAGAGAGTGGTGCGTTTATGGAATGGGCTGCCAGAGAAAGTGTTTGAGGCAGATACAATAGCAACATTTAAAAAATATTTAGATAGGTACATGGATGGGAAGGGTTTAGAGAGATATGGACCAAATGCGGACAGTTAGAACTAGCTGAGGGTATCATGGTCAGCATGGACCAGTTTGGGCTAAAGTGCCTGTTTCCATGCTGTATTACTCAATGACTCTACTAACCTATCCTGCACTTTCAGGTCAGGTACAACATGGTTTTAATTCAGAGTAATGCTTCATCTCCACTGCCACATCAAACACTCACAGGTATAATACAGGTAAGGGCCCCAAAAAATTCCTTCAGTTCTTTAAGTACATACTGTTATACTCATTTTAAGTGAAGGGTGTAAAATTGTGGTTGCGTTTTTGAAAATTGCAGCTTTAAGTAAAACATTAAGTGAATTATGATTAACCATAGGAACTAATGTTAAAACTAGAGTTAGGTTCCTGAAGATAATTTTTGCCCAGAAAAGCCCATGTAAAAGTCTGTCAGACTCAAGCAGCCCTGTGTTCCCAGCTGAAACAGCTTGCAAAACAAAACAAAAAAAAAGCTTCAGTGAGGAAAGTCGACTTCTTGTTTACTTTAAAGAAATTTACATGTCTTCAACTATTGCACTGGTACATGTAGACTAAAGTATAGCAGAGAATTCTTTTTAGGAATCTAAATTGCAGAAGTTCCTCTGCAGGCATAGGTAAAACACAGCAGAGAAATTTGAAAAAAAGATTGAAGTTTACTTCAGTACCTGATGAGACAGCTATTGAAAACAATGATGATCTTTAGCTCCAGGGAAAAGGCACAATGGTGTCAACTTTAGCATCATAATTAGGGGCCTTGTGATAATGCGATGACATAACTTACAATGACATGAGAAGCACAATAATGCAAGAAGCGAATAGGAAATGAGGGATGTTAAAATGGTGACTGACACTTTAAATGAGGCAAATGGGCATTTAAAAGACACAAACAACTTTTAAAGTGAAAAACTTTAAAAGGGGGACTTAAAGTGAGAGTTTGTTGTAATATGTTTTGTACAAGTAACTCAGTGGGAGAACTGCTAAAATCCGGAGTTATACAGAGTTATTAGAAATGTCTAGGGAATAGAAACTTGTCACACGAGACAAAGCACTTCCAGCGTTGGACAAATTTTTGAGAGAAAGCCAATTGATAATGTGCTTCTTGTAGTGAATGAGGGTTGGACCTTGCCTGTATCACATACAGCTCAAGATCTGAAAAGTTTGTTAAGTTCCCAAGACGGAGCTGCATTTCTGTTACTGTCTTAACTGATGTGTCAGGCATTTCTTGGGGACGCCCAGCCTGTTATCACTTCCCTCGACTCCCTGCAGAATCGAGCCATTGAGGAGTTCCACAAAGTCTCAACATTTTTTGGAGAAGATTCAAAGATGACCACAACTGAAGCTTTTTTTGGGATATTTGCAGAATTTATTACAAAGTTTGAGGTAAGGTTTATTCTGCAGCAAATCCATGCTGTTATTGGCCACCAGTCACACTGGACAATTCCAAAATGTTCTGGCTCAGTAAAATCCTATATCTCTCATTTCTTTGAGTTGCCTCTTATGGATAACATTAGTCTCTCAGCTTGCCTTTATTTATTATATGATGACCACGTGATATCTACAGGGAAATATATGAAATATACCTCAACTATACAAGACGTGACAAGCAGATATGTGAAATGTGCAATTTAGGATGAGCAGAAATTTACTGAGATTGGAGGATAGGAGGTCAGTCGGATAGCATTACAGTAATCTGGGCTGGAGGTGATGAAGATCTCTGAGGGCTTCAGCAGCAGATGAAGAATAAGGAATGGAGGAGTGTATGTGGGAGGGTGATGTTATAAATGTGGAAGTAGGTAGAGTTTTTAATGAAGTGGGATGCATCAGAAGCAAAGATTAGGATTGAAAAGAATTCTGCAAATCTGAATAGTTTCCATCAGCTGGAGACATAATGGATGTTGATGACAAGCACACAAAGCTTGTGGTGAAGGTTGAAGATTTAGGTCTTCCCACTTGAAAAAGATAAGGATTATGCAAATACTAATATGACTTAGAAGTGATGGTGGAGAAATGGAGTGGAGTGTCGTTGTCAGATGTGTAAGTTGAGCCCATGCCTGTGGATGCTGTGAAGCTGCAGCATGTAAATGAGTAAAATGATGGGGCTAAGGGTGGATCTTTGGAGTGTCTGGAGGTAATGCAGCTTTGCATCACCCACAGGTGGCGGCATAGTGGTAACATCATGGCACTGGTAATTCAGCACCCTTTCCTAATTTCCTGGTGACTTAGGTTTGAATCATACCATGGCAGTTGAATCCAACACAATCTGGAATTAAAAGTTAGCCTATTAGTAACCATACAACAAATGTCACTTGCTATAAAACCCACCTGTTTGAATAACATTGTTTAAGGAAGTAAATCTGTTGCTCTTACCTGATCTCACCTATAAGTGACTCCAGACCCATAGCAATATGATTGACTCTTAACTGCCCTCTGAAATGGCCTAGCAAGGCAATCAGCTCTGGGGCAATTAGAGATGGGCAATAAATGTTGGTTTAGCCATTGATGTCCACATTTCATTAACAAATAATAAGTTATCTGGTTTGTAGTATACTGTATATATTGAAAGAATATATGACAAGGAAATACAAAATATACAGTTGGGGAATAGGTTATTTGGGCATCTGGTGTACACATGAAATATGAGAAGAGCTCTCTTATCGTGTATATGATATTGTGCCAAGTGAATTTGTGTTAGGTAAATATGCTAAAGATGGGAGTTAATATATAATTAAACATGCGGCATATTTAGAGGGAAATATGATTGTTAGCTGAAGTAACAAAAGTAGAGAAAGCATGTGTCATAATCCAGGGAACTAAAATTTGGAATGAAATTAGCTTACAGCATTATCAGGATCATTGTATCATACCTGAATGTGGAAGGCAGATGGGGTGGATTTGGAAATGTGTGTAATATTTCTCAAAGAAAGCTGTTGAAACCAAAGGAAGAAGTTGTTCAAAATGAATAATGCAGTAAAATAAATGGGGTATGATTATGACTGGAATTTAACGATGAGCAGGGTAATAAAGTTGATCAACTATTCAAGGTGAATAGATTAGATAGTGAACAGGAGAGGTCAAAAGGGATTGGTATTTGATGATCACAGGATGAAACAAGAAGGTAAAAGTACAAGTTGTTTATTGGAGGTAAATGCTTTATGAACTTCAGTTTCAGCTTCACTGATGGCAAAGTTAGGTAAGGATACCTGTCCCTGGCAAAACTAACAACTGTGTAGATTGGGACTCCTGAGTTTGGTGCCCAGGTCCAGTCTATGCTGAGCTAGGTCACTATTGATCTTGATGCCCCCCAATTTGGCTTTCTGCTGTTCTAAGAATTATGATAGGATAGAGTTGGACTAACATCTAAAGACTTCCACAAAAATCCACTTCTTTTTTCAATGTCAAGAAGTGCTCTAACACACACAGAACGTTTTTCCTCTATCACCAAATCACCTGGGGTATTTTTTTATCTACTAATCATCAACAATAAATCACTCACATTTTCCATATGGTTGATTAATGTGCAAAGCCAGTAAGGACAATGCGGACCATCAAAGGTGAGGGAGAGATAGGGAGAAGGGGAGGGACTGAATCAAAATGGAGTTGGAACATCTGTTTCAAGTATCCAGGCTCACACAAAATCCTTGATTATACATTGTTCCAGCCACTTCCTATAAGGACTCCATTTCTTTCTCCTAGTATGGCTATCAGTTGAGGTCCCCGGCAGGGCCGTTCGTGAGGGACCCCGGCAGGGCCGTTCGTGAGGGACCCCGGCAGGGCCGTTCGTGAGGGACCCTAGCAGGACTTTTGGCGGGGGACCCCGGCAGGGCCGTTTGTGAGGGACCCCAGCAGGGCCGTTCGTGAGGGACCCCGGCAGGGCTGTTCGTGAGGGACCCTAGCAGGACTTTTGGCGGGGGACCCCGGCAGGGCTGTTCGTGAGGAACCCCGGCAGGGCCGTTGGCGGGGGGCCCCGGCAGGGCCATTGGCGGGGGGCCCCGGCAGGGCCGTTGGCGGGGGACCCCGGCAGGGCTGTTCGTGAGGGACCCTAGCAGGACTTTTGGCGGGGGACCCTGGCAGGGCTGTTCGTGAGGGACCCCGGTAGGACCGTTGGTGAATGTTCTTGTGGGTACCTCCTGCGGGCTAATGCTGGGAGTCCCCAGCAGGCTGTTGGTGGGGCTTCCTAACAGAGCTGTTGCGGGGGTTCCCAGCAGGACTGTTGGTAGAGGTTTCATGCAGGGCTATTGTTGGAGATTCCCAGCAGGGCTTCTGGTGGAGCTTGCCAGTATTCTGAGTTCCCAAGCATAGTTTTTCAAAGCAAGTCAACATTTCTTTCCATTGGATCTTACCTGATTTTTAAGACAATTTTCTGTAAATCTATGTAGCCTCAGCATCAAGTGCCATGGATTATGCTCTGGCACTACAGCACCAAAGAATTGCCAATGGCTAATAATATTTCAATAGCTGTATATTTCAATAGCTGTATCACCTGCAGTCACTACTGGAATCTAAGAGGAATCCTGGGAGGAGCAAGCCTTGAACCTGATAAATTTAGTTTTGGTTAACTAAAGACAGGAGTGACTGAGTGTTCTGCAGTAAAGCTTGAGGATAATGACCCATTGTGGGGCCTTGTCTACAAATACATTTATGTCTGCCAAGCCTATCCCTAAGAGTATGTGATCAACCCAGGATGACACAGACCCCCACAGCTGTTGAGGCTAGAATGCTGCAACTGTTTTTATATGACATTGTCAACTTCATAAAACACGAATCTCTGGGGCAGGTAGCTGTGGGACATGTGATTACAGCAGTTGCTGTATGACTTATATCTTGTACAGAGAAATTATTGATCAGTGTGAAATTCCTGATATCAATCAAACGTAGCCTTTTAGACTAGATAAGGAGAACTGAACCATAATCTTCTGCTAACTCATGTATTGATATTTTGTGAATTACAGAAAGCATACAACGATACACGGGCCTCTGTGAACCTGCAGAACCTGAAGGTGGTTTCCCCACTTGCCTGGTGACATAAATGATGCTTCTGTATTTACAGCAGTTTTGCCAAAAAGAGCAGTTTTGTTGGACTGACACGTGAGTAAGATGATAGATAGCCCCAGCATTGGGAGTTCTCTGTAATGATGGCGTTGGAAAGAGGAATGGCTAATTGGAAGGGGCAGCTCTTGAGATCAACTTGGCAACAACCTAGCCCCATTGGCAGAATCGACAGCTGTCTACCACCTGTCGCACAGTTCCCCCTAACCACCCCACGCCCCCATTCTCATTTTATTTCAGTTACAATGGACACCAACAATAGGCAGATTCTATAATCAACTGTTGGAAACTTGAACTTGAGACCAAATCTTCAACACGAGGCTCTCGGTATCAGTTTTCTTCACTTTGTTCATACCGAAAGGCAGCGGAACCAGGATCTTTCCCTCCTGTAGTCTCCTCTTTATATTTTTATGCCCCTGGTCACGATCAATCTAGTTCACTGTCTAACATCCCAGTAGTGTTTGATCGCCCATGAATTAGTCAACTTCAGAAGAATGAGGGGGGAATCTCATAGAAACATATAAAATCCTGATGGGATTTGACAGGCTAGATGCAGGAAGAATGTTCCTGATGTTGGGAAAATCCAGAACAAGGGATCACATTCTAAGAATAAGAAGTAAGCAATTCAGGACTGAGATGAAGAAGAATTTCTTCACTCAGAGTTGTGAACCTGTGGAATTCTGTACCACGGAAAGCTGTTGGGGCCAGTTTGTTAAATATATTCAAGAGGGAGCTGGATGTGGTCCTTGCGGTTAAAGGGATCAAGAGGTATAGAGAGAAAGCAGGAATGGGATACTGAAATTTCATGATCAGCCATGATCATATTGAATGGTGGTGCAGACTCGAAGGGCCGAATGGCCTAATCCTGCATCTATTTTCTATGTTTCTATGTTTAACACCTAAATCTAACTGATAGCCAGATGGGTAAGGACATTTATCAATATGAGCAAAACAGGTCAGTCGATCCCAGATGCGCCCTCTACCCTGTGTGAATTAGCTGATGTGATGTTTGCAGCAGTTTGGTGATCACATTTGGTACCAGCACCACTGGAGTGAGGAGGGGAAACAACCAATCAAGGTTCCCATTGAGTCTTGCCTGAAATGGAGATGCTTCCACTATGATACTTCCTTTGAACAGCCTGTTAACATTCACTATCTGCATTCACACACCAGGGTAATACCCAATTGAAGGAATGATGAGGGGCTGTCTGAAACCATCCTCCAGTTCAGAGTGAATGGCTTCAGAACAGGAAGAAACAAAAACTGAAATCCCTAAGAATTTCAAGAGTCTCTCAGTAACCAAACATCCAGAAGTTTGGATGGTGAGCCCGCGGTTACTGACTCCCCAGAAAGAGGAGAGGACTTTTTCACTAACAAGGAATCTGAAAATTCCATTTGCATTTATATTTTTAAAAGTAAACATTCTACCCGCAACCAACACCTCCTCCCCTGCCATCTTCAGTTCAGGTACTGGAGAGATTATTTAAATTCTTTTTGCTAAATTTTCATCATAGACATTCATCATTTCCAAAGCCATGGTTCCAACCCTTTCCAACCCTATTCCTTGCCTGAACTGGAAAGGGTCCTATTCTGAGAGTTTGCTTGAAGATTTGCTCTTTTGCTATTTTGTACAAGTGTTTTGGCCCAGTCTTTGGTTATCATGATTACCGCTTATTTAGATAATCCTTGCTGGATTTTACAACCCTGTGCTCTCTACCTAAAACCCTATAAGAGTGCCAGCTAGTCTGTGTGATATCTGCTTTGTGATTTAGAGGGAAAGAATATTCTGTCTGAAACCACTATTTATTCAAATAATGTCATTTTCATAAAACGTAAAACTCTTGTCCCATCTGGTTGGATCATTGTGCTGAATAAATCTGAATTCAGCCCTTTTAGCTGTGCTGCCTCTGACGGTGGGAGCAAACCTTTGGGTCAGGTGATCCATCCACAGGATCTATTTCAGCGGAGCTCAGTTAAAACTCATTACTGTTTTTTTTTTATGTATGTGATTTCTGCGGTCCAGATTAATTAAGAAGCCTTCACAGAAATAAAATACCAGCTATTTGGATTCAATGTGAGCTTTGATCCAGACTATGCCTCATGGTGTTCATCTGGCAGGAAGGTTTACAGCGCTTGTGGTAAACATTGTCTCCCCTACATTGCACAGTTTAGTTTCACCACATCTGCACTCTAATGTTAAAGGGATAGCCTCCTGGATGGCAACAGAATAATTCACCACATGCAGCCATGACCTTCTGTGTAAGAATGTTGCACAGGTTTCAGGTGAATCTAAAGGAAGGTTCTCAAACAGAGCTCCAAAGGAACTTTAGCCTTACATACTCATTGAAACAACACTTAGTTAACTTTTAAAAAAAAACACCTTTTTGCTATTTGTTTTCATCTGAACATGCTGACTATTCCAGGGGTACAGTTTTGCAGGTACCAGCTGTTATTCCAGTACTTTGGCCATTGTTTATGTGAATCCACAGTGTTCTTCAGCAGTATTTCAGCCTGATACTTGCACACTTGAACTTGCCAGCATGATCTGCTGGACAGCGAGCAGGTTCAGGTTCCAGCAGCAATCTGCTGGAAACACGAGATGGGTCATTCTGCACATGAAATGCTGCATTCACTTAACTGACCCTTCTAGAGAGAGGTCTTGTGCTTCCAAACACCCTTATTCTCTGATACATTAATGAAATATAATAAACAGGCACAACCTCTCCAGGCTTACTCAGTCTGAGGAGCATAGACGTAGTCTAAATGCAATGGACTTGAACCCTACTGTTCAAATCAGGAGGTAGCCTCTGAACTAATTACTTTATTAAATTGCTCAAAGGACCATTTGGAGCTTTTATTCACCCTCCTCTCACTTTCTGTCTTTCTCTCTCTCTCTCTGTCACCATTTGAGACACACATGGGCAGATATTTTGTCTGATTAAGAAGGGAAACAGGTCCTCATTAAATCTGACCTCATTCCCTTTTCCAATTCTCTCTGTAGTGACATAGAAATTTTGATGTTTTGAGTCGTTGCATCAAATAACTTACACCCATCCGCTACATAGCAGATAAATTGCCCACCTGAAAAATAAATATAATCCAACTTGGTGAACGTGGAAGCAAAAATGTGTGGAAGTAATGAAATGTCTTTGAGTTTCACAGAGCAGAGATAAGTGGCACTTAAATCTGAGATACCCAACGGGTGATTTCTGGCACCTAACCAAGGGTCAGATGGTGTGTTTGTATCGTGAATATTATTTATTAATAATATTTTATTTATAAAACTGCAGCTGGAGATTAGGCTCATGCTTCCTGATTATTAGAATGAATCTTATTTTTCATTTTGTATTGTACACATCAGTAATTAAAGCTGGCAATAAAAGTGTTAGTTAATCGGAATTTGGGTGCTTTTGTCTATCTCCGGAATTAATATTGAATTTCAATCGCACGTCCATCACCTTTGATTTGGTAAAAATTGCACCACTATGCTTCTTGAGAAACAGCATGAGTTTGGATAGTGCACAGGCCAAGAGTGAAGTGCCCAGAGCGTGGATGATCTCCATCAGTGCTGTCCCAACACCCTAAAGGCACTATTAGAGAGATGAACTCGAATAAGGCCAAAAATGTTTGTAAATGAGCATCATAATTTTAAAATCAACAAAATGGTGAGAGGAAGAGTCATGGAAATACTGGGGGAAATGATATAAAGAAGCAACAAAACTCTCCTGATATTCAGCCATCTGCTAAATTATCATGGTGGAAAAGATGAAAATTTGCGTAGTGGAAAGCAGGGGTCACAATATTGATTCCCAGTATCTGTCTGGTAATGGGGTTTAAGGGAATCAGTTAGCAGAATTTGATCATGTAGCTGTAAATCCCACACTGCCTTACATAGCTGTTTCAGCTGCAAACCTGGGATCGGGCTAGGTATCATAAGCAAGGAGCTCACTGTGGACATGGTCTTGCTTGCTTTCAAAATCAGTAGATTTGTCCTTTTATACTTTCTTGGGATGCAATTATTATCCTCAAGCCTGTTATTTCTTACTCTTTCCCAATTGTACAGATGGTCACTGTACATGTCCCCATTACACACTGCTCCCTTTACAGATGGTGACTGTACACGTCCCAATTGTACTGAATAGTTTGCTAGTGGGTAGTTAAACAAAACTAAACTTCAACTAAAGGACATTTCTGCTTAGGTGAAACATGAATTGCTTTGATAATGGTTCTATGCTCTACAATTGCTTATACATTTGCCACCTCCTTTCCAGTAGCTTCTTCTGAATTCATTTAACCTCCTGCAGTATCCAATTATTTGTCCTTTTGGCAATGAGGTGCTTTTAAGATACTTTATTCCATTATAGAGCAAGGGTAGTTGAAAGAAGGAGAATTACCACCACTCTTCAAAATGGAAGTTCACAGGTTGGGCTGGACCACCAGCAGGAACTAGAAGTATCAAGTTTCTACTTGTTATTTTAGATCAGCAAATTGGTCATACAATCAACAAAAGCTTAATAATCCTCATGTTAAGCAAAACCTAACCAGGGCTGCATATGTATTAAAGTAGTCACAGTAGACTCTGAATCATCATAATGACACAGAGGTTGTCTGGCCTAGCCAAAATGGCAGCCTAGCTCTGATTCTAGAAGTTCCAGCCCCAAACCCAACATCTACTTTTTCTGTAGGGAATGTTCAAGTGCAGCTGCCTTCAAACAGAATCAATTTTTGATTATAAGGTGTCCCTGTGGATTTCCTACTTTTCAAGAGAAGATCTGTGCGAGTTGTTTAGAGAGCTAGATTACACTTTTAGAAAAGTCCAGAGACATCTTTAGTAGAGACCAAATATTTTTTGGGTTTGTTAAAAGTAGATATGAGTGCATGTTAAATGTGAGTAAACTGATTGAAACCATCCAGCTGTCAAGGCACTTAAATCTCTCAGTCTCTAAATTTTTGGAAAAAACTACAGTGTAAAAATGTTCAGTGCTTGCTGTTTTACAGTCTGTTTACATAAGCCTTGGGGATATTATAGGATTTGTGTTGCATACTGACTTCACAACCTGTTATTGTTACAGAGGGGTGCTTATTATTTCACATTTTGATTGACAGGTCCAGCTGTTTTAAGGTTTTGAAGTATGCCAATGAATGCAAGTGCTTGTTTTT